CCCCAAAACCCCAAAACCCCGTAAAACAAATCAATAGGTTTTTTAAAATTTGAAATAAATATGCTAAATTAATTCTTAATTATCAAATTAATACTTAATATAGCAATTAAGAATCAACCAAGTTTGTATAAGAATCCTGGTATAATGCCTCTATTCAACTCAGTTGAATTGCTGCTATTTGGACTTGTTTTAATTTGGAATATGCCCATATCTGGATTAGTATATGTTTCATAAGCATTACCAGATTCAGAATAATAGCATTTCGTAAAAGAGAGGGTTTGCATGAAATTAAGAGTCTGGCCTGCATCTACTTTTATGCCGTTACGGAATGAAGTAAGCTGATATTTGAAGAAATGGAGCTAATTCACATCAGAAGTTGAATAATTAATCGTTTCCTTAAACTCCTCAGACTTTATGACTACTGTTCCATCTTCCTCTTTTATCTCATATTTATACTTCAAGGTGAATTCTATAGGAGGATCCTAATACCTTTCAAAAATCCCAATACCCATAAACTAGAATCTTTTAGAGCACTTGATTAGCAATGCATCCCAGCTGGATGCACCAACACTCCAACTATCTTGTTTAAAATCAGAGAATCTTAAAAAGAATTTCAAATGACCACTATTAATCATGGCGTTGCCATTAATTCCATAAAGGAAAAGCTTCTACCCATCCTGAATGTTTTCTTCAGCAAAAGTTTTACTTTCATCTAAAGTCCTCTCATTTTCAATAGCTAAAAATTCGCTTTGATACAGTCCTTTCATTGGTTATAACAGTGAAGATACATTATCAGTAATTTAGACTGTATTTTTAGTTGAAGATATATGTTTTTCAACCTCACATATTGCCTCAATGCTAATCTAGAATTGAAGTTCTTAAGGATTGATATTAATCTTTTTATTGTCAGATTTAGCCTCACCATTTGCATCTGATTCATCGCATTCATACTTTGAGCACTCCCAGGTATTTGGAAGTTTAGTTTTATCTGCATTTTCCCCCATATCAATCAGTGCCTGAACATTGTTGTCTTTTTCAAGTACCACATATTTGTGCTTTTTGTGGTAGGCAATTTACTTCGGTTGCAATCTCTGTGAATGAAGTTCTTTCTAATTTCTCTTAATTAATGAAGGTTCAGCATCTTTCTCAGTTTTCTTGTCTTTATCTTTTTCATCTTGAATAATAGAATACCTCTCATGAAATCTCGAACTTGGCAAGTACTACCCGTTCTCACCCTCTCTCCAGAGTGAGCTGTTTGATGATGTTGTATGTATCTTAAAATCAGACTTCAGAGTATCTTCACTTTGATCCATTATTAAATTAGATATCTTTTCGATAGTTATGTATTAAAATATTTGCTTTTTAATTATTCGAATTCCAATCAGATTCACTTTTAAGGGGTTTTGGGGTTTTGGGG